AGGAAAGGCAGATGAGCCCACTATTTCCACACCTTCCTTATCTTCCGCCTGTATCTGGAGGGAAAGACAGGCAGCACCCAGTCTCCCAACTGTCCCGGTACCTGGGGCTGGAACGGCCACCAGTGTCATCCCAGGGTCCCTGATGCCTGCTCTGAGGGTTCTGGTCAAGTGGTTTCGATGGTTCTGACAAGCTGCCGATCTCGCAGATCCAAGGATGAGGAAATCCTCCCAGGGTCCCCTGGCTGACACGGTCCTCTCCCGCAGTCTCCATTCGCCCAGATTTGCTGTCAAGCTCTGCTGGGGTAGCTGAGCAGTTTCTTCTGCCCTTGTAGCATTTCCTGCCACACCTTCTTGTTTTGTGTGTGTAGGCATTCACATCTATAAAAGCCCTTAACACGTTTCTCTGGTACTTTGTACTTCTCACATTTCAAGATTCCTCCGTTGAGAGTTATTTTGCAGTAAATTATGAGGCAAGAGATCATCAAGCTTTCCAGTTTCCTCAACATTTTCAACTGAATCTCTTCCCACTGTTTTGTTTTTTAAGTAATAACCTGTGTTTATATTTGTGAGGCTATTTCAATTGTTTCGTAGCAAACTGATTTGAAATATGAGGGGTGAGTGGATGGCGGCGGGTGAGCTGTCACTTCTGACACCAGCATCCTGTACTGCAGCACTGGGTTGTGTCTGAGCCATTCTGCTCCTGACCCAGCTGCCTGCCAAGGCCCCCGGCGAGCAGTGGGAGCTGGCACCAGTATCTGTGTCCCCGTAGCCTTGTGGGACCATGGGCTGCAGTCCTAGCTCTCGCCTCCATCTCGGACAGGACGGCCCAGTTTGCCATTTAGGGAAGATGTGTCTCTCCCTCTCTCTGTCACTGTCTGCCTTTCGGTCGGAACTACGACAGTATCTCATCGTCTTTGAACCTACACTATCTGCCTTTTAAATGAATGAATAAACAAATCTTTTTAAAAAATCAGCTTTATTTGGGGCCTGATACGGTGGCCTAGCAGCTAAAGTCCTTGCCTAGAATGTGCCGGGATCCCATATGAGCGCCGGTTCTAATCCCGGCAGCCCTGCTTCCCACCCAGCTCCCTGCCTGTGGCCTGGGAAAGCAGTCGAGGATGGCCCAAAGCCCCGGGATCCTGCACCTGCATGGGGAACTCGGAGGAAGCTTCTGGCTCCTGGCTGTGGATTAGCTCAGCTCTGGCCATTGCGGCTACTCGGGGAGTGAACCAGCGGATGGGCGATCTTTCTTCCTGCCTCCCCTTCTCTGTGAATCTGCCTTTCCAATAAAAACATTAAAGAAAAAGAATTAATACAGTATATAGGAAGATTAATAATACATTTATATGTAAAATGTGCTCTTCATGAGTTTCCAATCTAATAGGGCTGCGAAAGCCATTTCTTGTTACCTAGCATGCACACAAAAGGCAGGTGTGTCGAGGGTATTTACAGAAATTCCCCAAGATTATGAAATGGAAATTCCCCTGCATGGCATTTGCTGGAACAACAGCACCATTTGTAAAGGAAGGAAAGACTTTTCGTTGTATAGAAACTGAGAACAAACAAGCTGACCTCCTCGGAAGCTCCCACCTGTCACGAGCTACAGCTACAACCCCACCAACATTCATCATGTTTTAAAAAAAGGAAACATCAAAATGTGCCAGCTAGTGATGACTGTTCAGTTTTGAGAAACAGAGAGCAAGTCTTAGTACGTTAGCCTTTAGCAACTGCTGCTGTCTCACCTGCAAGTTTTCCTTTGGCAAGTGAAGCGGGCGCTCCTGGAGCTCCGGGGAGTGGACCTGCTGAGCGGCCCGGAGCTCCGGGGAGTGGACCTGCCGAGCAGGCTGGCGCTCCGGGGAGTGGACTTGCTGAGTGGTCTGCACTCGGCTATTAGTTACGACACTGCCTGGGATTCACACACTCTACATTAGAATGCGTGGTTCAAGGTTGAGCTGCTCCACTTCTAATGCAGCTTCTCGCGCCTATGCATCCTACAGGGTATCAAGTGGTGGGACCAGGACTTGCCTATTGGATCCCTGCTACCCACAGGAAAGCCCTGGAGTGATCCTGGGTTCCTGGCTTTGCCTTAGCCCAGTCCTGGCTACTGGAGCGGCGTTGGGTTATTTCTGGAAAGTGAGCCAGCAGACAGGAAAGTTCCTGGTTATTATTCTGTCTTTTAAATGTAATGAAACTAATACCTTTTTTTTTTTCATCGACATTAATATTCCATCTACCGACTGTAAATCGTCATGTTTATACTATTATGCTCCCAAGTCTAAGACTGTGTCCTGGGCCTGGCGCAGTAGCCCAGCAGCTAAAGTCCTTGCCTAGAATGCGCCGGGATATGATATGGGTGCCAGTTCTAATCCCGGCAGTCCTGCTTCCCATGCGGCTCCCTGCTTGTGGCCTGGGAAAGCAGTCGAGGACGGCCCAAAGCTTTGGGACCCCGCACCTGCGTGGGAGACCTGGAGGAGGCTCTGGGCTCCTGGCTTTGGATCGGTACAGCTCTGGCCATTGTGGCCACTTGGGGAGTGAATCAACGGAAGCGAGGCGGACAGAAGATCTTTTCTGCCTCTCCTCTTCTGTGTATATCTGACTTTCTAATAAAAATAAATAAATCTTAAAAAAAAGACTGTCCCACATAGGCACTCAGTAGATACTTACTAAGTGAATGAGTTAATGGGCTTTCTATTCTTGGAGTATATTTATCACGATCACATCATTTCCCCTTATTTCCAAATGAACTTCTCTGGGTTCCCGTCCCCTTCTCAATGTCCTGGTGCCATCAGTGGGCTCTGGGAGGGATTCTTGGCCAGTTGTGACTCTGGCTAAGGCCTAGTCTCCCTGGGACCTTATCAGCCCTCCTGCGGGCTCTAGATACGGTGGCTCGAGTATTCTCAGAACGCTTTTAGGTTAGTAACCCTAGCAAAAACGGAAACGAGGTTAGCTTGGCAGGAAATGAAATCAGTTTGGCAACTGACGGTGAAATAGTGAACAAAGCGGGAGTCCATGGCAGTCTGAGTTAACATAAGCACGTTGCAAAGCAGCGCAACGCCATCGAACAGACCGGCAGGCGTGAGGGGCTGTCGAGGCCTGCAGAGGAAAGCTGCTGATTGGTGACTTCGGTGTACCTCGGCAAGTGTGTGTGGGGTGTGTGGAGCACTGCAGAGTCCCCCCAGGTGAGAGCCAGACCCGTCAGCGTATCCACAGAACAGCTTTGAGGCAAATCCATAGGCATAACTGCTTGGGCCTCTTAAACCCTGTGCTAAGCGTTTCTTATTCCTAATCATGCAATAACCTCGAAGTGGGAATGAATAAAGGACCTATCAAACGTCAGTGCACGGCGAGGGAGGGGCCCAGCTGCTTTTTCTGCGTAAAGTAATGGGGAAACAATGCAAGCCCAGGGCTCCATGGAGTTCCTTTCCAAGGGAGCATCGGTTTGAACGATCTGTTACATATGTTGCTTAATCAACCCTGAAACGTTACATCCAATTCTTTAGAACTATCCTTGTTCACAGATCGCATAAGAAGGGCCGCTCACTGCAGATACAGAACAACAGCATGGTAGCAAAGGCGAGCTCACTCCGCTGTCACAGCCGGCTCACCGGCGCAGGACGCTGAGCAAACGCTGCTTCGCCACTTGGGGGACCGGCGTGGCTTCCCATGGGGCTCCCTGTGCCAGGCCTGGGCAGCAACAGAGCCCGGCCAAGCCATGTCACCGCGATGGAGTCCCTGAGCCCCGGCTTCAGCCTGGCCCACCCTTGGCTTTTGAGGCTATTTGAGGTGTGAACCACTGGATGTTGCTTTTATTTAAAAATTAATCTTAAAAATAAATAGTAAAACCTGATAGTCGCATAAGCTAATCGAAATATACCCAGGAATGAAAAGAATGATTTTAAGGAAAGCGAGGGACACACTCATTAACCTATTTCACCCACATCTTTTCTGAACTTGTGGAAATGATGATGTAATTATAACTAGAAAAAACAGACGCCAAACAGAGTCATCACCGCCCTGGGAAGACACGCAGCACTGCCATGGCAGCTCACGCTGCGGAAAGTCCACAGCTGGCCGCCCCCTGTCCCCTCCCCACGGCGCTGGGACCCTGCACCCGTCCCTCCCCACGGCGCTGGGACCCTGCACCTGTCCCCTCCCCATGGCCAGCCCCAGCTGTGCTCAGCCAGGTCTGAGCTGGTCCCAGAGCAGGAGCGCAGTCCTTCCCGGCCGACCCACAGCTCGGACCTGCATGCAGCAGCTGGAACCCGCGTGGGAGCCGCTGGCCAGCCGGCCGCCTGGCGAGGCAGCCAAGGGTCTCCCCGACCTTTGTCACCACACGGAAGGCCCTCGTGGGCAGCTGGGGTCCCCACCCTGCCCTCCTGGCCCGCGTGGGCAGCTGAGGGGTCCCCACCCTGCCCTCCTGGCCCGCGTGGGCAGCTGAGGGGTCCCCACCCTGCCCTCCTGGCCCGCGTGGGCAGCTGAGGTCCCCACCCTGCCCTCCTGGCCAGCGTGGGCAGCTGGGGTCTCCACCCTGCCCTCCTGGCCCGCGTTACCTATTTTTCTTGGAAACGCAGATTTACGGAGAAAAGGAGACAAAGATCTTCTGTCCGCTGGTTCACTCCAAAGCCAGGAGTCAGGAGCCTCTTCCGGGTCTCCCATGGGGGTGCAGGGTCCCAAGGCCCCGGCCGTCCTTGACCGCCTTCCCAGGTCACAGGCAGGGAGCTGGACGGAAGCGGGCCCGTCGGGACACGAACCGGCGCCCACGTCGGCTCTCTGCTGCCTGCAAGGCGAGGAGTTAGCCACTGTGCCGTGGCGGTTCTAGAAGCCCAGGGATTCTAGAAAACCTGAGGAGGCGTGGCTCGGGCGGGCGGGCGCCATTGCCCCGCTGCATTGTGGGAGTCTGACGCCGCCCGCCGGCGCGCAGCCGTGCTAACAACGGGCGGTAACCGGCGCCACCCGGCGCTAACCGGCGCCCGCCGCCGCCCACCGCCTGCGCCGCCGCCATGGGCTCCGTGAGCGACGACGACATCATTCGCAAGCGGCTGCTCATCGACGGCGACGGCGCGGGCGACGACCGCAGGCTCAACGTGCTGGTCAGGAGCTTCGTGCGGTGGTGCGCGGGGCCGCAGGACGAGGCGCACGGCCAGTACCAGCGGCTGCTGGGCACGCTGGCGCAGTGCGAGTTCTCCATGGGCAAAGCCCTGCTGGTGCACGGCATGAACCGCCGGGAGAGGGACAACTACGACAGGATTTACCGAGAGATCCAGGAGAACATTGCCGGGGCGCACGAGAGCATCGTGGCGTGCAAGAAGCGCATCGCGGAGGCCAGGCAGATCCGCAAGCACCGGCAGGAGTACGACGCCCTGGCCAGGGCCATCGAGCAGCACCCCGAGCGGCAGGACACGCTGCGCAGGCTCGAGGCCCTGGGCAGGGAGCTGGAGCAGCTCTCGCACGTCCGGGGCAGCGTGGAGGAGAAGCTGCAGCTGAGGCGCAAGCAGTTCCACGCTCTGCTGAGCAACATCTACGAACTGCAGCAGACGCTGGAAAACGACGAGAAGCTCCCGGAGGGGGAGGCGCGCAGGCCGAGCGGCGAGGGAGCCCCGAAGGGCTGAGCGGGCTGAGCGGGCTGAGCGGGCTGACCGACGGCTGACCGACGGCTGACCGACGGCTGACGCACGGCTGACCCACGGCCGACCCACGGCTGACCGACGGCCGACCCACGGCTGACCGACGGCCGACCGACGGCTGACGCACGGCTGACCCACGGCCGACCCACGGCTGACCGACGGCCGACCCACGGCTGACCCACGGCCGACCGACGGCTTACCCACGGCTGACCCACGGCTGACCCACGGCCGACCGACGGCCGACTGACGGCTGACCCACGGCTGACCGATGGCTGACCAACAGCTGACCCACGGCTGACCCACGGCTGACCAATGGCGGACCCGATCCACGGCTGACCCACGGCCGACCACGGCTGACCCACGGCCGACCCACGGCTGACTGATGGCGGACCCACGGCTGACCCACGGCCGACCCACGGCCGACCCAATCCACGGCCGACCGACGGCTGACCCACAGCCAACCGACGGTTGACCCACGGCCGACCCACGGAGCCCGCTGCGCTGCGGACAATGCAACTTGTGGCGGTGAGATAATTTCAAGCAGTAATGCACATTTTACTCATATTTCTTCACAGAGATGACTTTAGTATAGATTTGTTTGTATTGAGATGCATTTAAAAAAGTCCTAGAGAGCAACATTCCAAAGCGTTTAATAAAATGTTTGCAAGCAGTGTGAGAAGTCTCCGTGTCCGCTGTGGGATGGTCGTGCCCGGGGTCCTGGGGCAGGTTCTCATCCCCGAGGTAGTGTCAGTGCGGGCAGGCTCCCCGCACAGTGTGTGCGGGAAGTGAGTTTGGTGGAACAATTGAATTCCTGTGTCCTGCGAGTGCTGCACGGACAGTAGGTGCCCGAGGCTCATGCTCAGTCCCTAGAGACCAGAGGCCGCGTCCGCTCACCCCGTCCGACGGGCCCAGGATGCAGTGAGAGGCAGGTTCTGCCCGAAGTCCCCTCCGAGGACTCGGTTTCCTTACAGCTTTCTAGTTGGTGACTGGAAGTCGTTAATAACGTGATCCAGAGGCGAATTTATCAACACAGGCTCACCACGTGCTTCCACATCAAATGTATTCATGGAGATGATTCTTGGGAGTTGAGGTTTTTCGAGTTTTGGAGCTGGTTACATCAGGGCAGAAGGGCCGCAGTTAGGAAGAGGGGCTCCCTGCTCACCAGCAGAGAGCTGGATCAGAAACTGGCACCGCCACAGTGCCAGTCTGAGAGTCTGCTGTAGAATAACCCCCAAAGTGGGTTGGGGCAGTGTCTACGGAACCTCGTAACTGGCCTGCCAGTCTGGCAAGCAGTCAGAGGCTGAGCTATGGCTGGTGAAGAGAGCTTGCTCGTGGTCCTGCAGTGCGCAGCGAGGCGCGTGGGGCTCAGGCCCTCAACTTCTGTGGGGTAGAGGCAGTGTGAATGCTGTAGTGCCACACTGGGTCAGGCAACGTGCCGCCTGCCCGCCTTCGGAGCTCTGGGTCCACAGTGCACATGACCTTGGCTTGACCAGTGCTTGTGGCCTCCATGTGCCTTGGGTAGAAACTGGGCATTCTGGAAAATCTCTTCAGTCTTCATTTGAGGACGTTCAGCGTGGAGTGATAAATGAGTTTCAAGGCCCACAGTCAGGGGCTCTCCGAGATTTCCACTGAAGTGTGGACAGTCGGGAAATGCGGCCGAGGGACAGAGCCGGGACCGACGATGCTCAGTTACACTCCCAGGACAGAGCAGCGCTGACTAACCTGGCACGCAGCTGATATGAGGATAAGGAGGGAAGCTTCTTGCAAACAAGGAGGAGAGGTCGGGATTCAGCCGTCTCTGGACAGAAAGGTGCAGGGGAAGAGGAGCAACACAACTTGAATACTGCCCTGTGTGGGTCTGGAAGGTTAAAAATTAGTTACACAAAGAAAAGGAGCAGAAAAGATTAAAGAAGGTTGGCAGGTTTAGCGGTGCCTTCGTTACCTTTTCCTTTCTGTTTTGTTTTTAGTTTGAAAGGCAGGGCGTCAGTGCAGAGGGGCTGGGACTGCGTCAGTGCAGAGGGGCTGGGACTGCCACAGTGCAGAGGGGCTGGGACTGTGTCAGTGCAGAGGGGCTGGGACTGTGTCAGTGCAGAGGGGCTGGGACTGCCACAGTGCAGAGGGGCTGGGACTGTGTCAGTGCAGAGGGGCTGGGACTGCCACAGTGCAGAGGGGCTGGGACTGCCACAGTGCAGAGGGGCTGGGACTGTGTCAGTGCAGAGGGGCTGGGACTGTGTCAGTGCAGAGGGGCTGGGACTGCCACAGTGCAGAGGGGCTGGGACTGCCACAGTGCAGAGGGGCTGGGACTGCGTCAGTGCTGGGACTGCGTCAGTACAGAGGGGCTGGGACTGCGTCAGTGCTGGGACTGCGTCAGTGCAGAGGGGCTGGGACTGTGTCAGTGCTGGGACTGCGTCAGTGCAGAGGGGCTGGGACTGCGTCAGTGCAGAGGGGCTGGGACTGCGTCAGTGCAGAGGGGCTGGGACTGCCACAGGAGCAGGTCTGTGTAGCAGCCTCCCAGACCCTGCCTGCCGCCTGCTGTGCTGATGAAACCTGCTGCTGCGGGCTGGGCACTCGTATCAAGTTTTAATTTGTGTTTAAGTAGTACTATAGAGATATAAAATACTGCAACAGCTAAGTGTTTTTTTAAAAACATTTGTTTTATTGGAAAGCAGACTTACAAAGAGGAGGAGAGGCAGAGAGAAAGACCTTCCATCTTCTGGTTGGCTGCAACAGCTGGAGCTGAGCTGATCCGAAGCCAGGTCCAGGAGCTGCTTCTGGGTCTCCCACACGGGTGCATGGTCCCAAGGCTCTGGGCCATCCTCGACTGCTTTCCCAGGCCACAGGCAGGGAGCCGGAAGGGAAGTGGAGCAGCTGGGACATGAACCAATGCCCACATGGTACCCGGCGCATGCAAGGCGAGGACTTTAGCGACTAGGACCAGGCACCAGGCCCCTAAATAAGGCAACTCTGATGCCTTTCCACCTCCTCACCTAACTGCATCGTTACTGCAGCCAGAGGCATTTTGTTTCTACACGCTTCCCTTGCGGGGCAGTTACAGGGAGCTGCACTTTCGCCTGACTTGCTGTGATGGAAAGAACACTTGCTAATGTAGATATTTCTCATAAACCATGCTTTTGTTTGCTTCTCTGTAAGATAATAAAAACAAAACAAAGCATGAGTGAAGCAGGACAGGCCTGTGGGCCACTCAGAGCTGCTGTCCCAGCCCTGACTCGTAGCCCCAAAAGGCGAAATTTCTGGAAGAAGCTAGCTGATCATCACACAGCCTCTTAGCCAAGGTGCCAGAACTGAAATCCTTAGAGCAGGGTTCAGCATGATGGCTCAGTCAGCTTAATGCTTCAGGATCCCATATGGGCGCCGGTTCGTGTCCTGGCTGCTCCACTTCCCATCCGGCTCCCTGCTTCTGGCCTGGGAAAGCAGCTGAGGATGGCCCAGAGCCTTGGGACCCTGCACCCGTGTGGGAGACCCGGGAAGAGGCTCTTGATTCCTGGCTGTTTATTGGCACAGCTCCAACTGTTGCGGTCACTTGGGGGGGGGGGGCGTGAATCAGCAGATGAAAGATCTTTCTGTCTCTCTTCCTGTCTGTATATATCTGACTTTCCAATAAAAAATAAATACATCTTAAAAAAAAGAAAAAGAAGAGAATGAATGTGTTCCCTGTTTAGACACGTCTAGGTGGGTGCAGAAGGTTTCTGTTTGGCAAAGTAAGTGGACGGGCTCTTGTGGTCAGAGAAGGAGATAATGGGGAATCAGCCGGAGCACCTGCTAGTCTGGTCACCCTGAGGAAGCCGCTGTGGCTCCCTCTGCTTGGGAATCCCCAAAGTCTCTCCCTGATTTTCCACCAGGTTGTGTTTCCGGGTTTATCTGCACTCCGATCTCCTGACCCTGGTGGATGGCTCACTGCTCCCTTGCTGTGCTCACACTTCCAGAAAACTCCCCACTCGGGACTCAAGGTCTCAGAACCGTCAGTGAATAATTAACCACAAGAGGGGGAGGGCAGAAACACCCCTAAAAATGAGGAACTTCAACACCGAAGAGTCTGCTTTGTTGGATCCAGGGCAATTGTGCTTGTTCTGCCCCAAATACATCTCGTGGAACTGTAAATCAGAAGCAGCGTGTGTGGCTGAGGGGGAGGGCTTGGACCTTTGCACTGTCGGCGGGAACGTCGAATGGCGCAGTTACTACGAAAACAGCATGACAGTTCCTCAGCGGGTTATAAATAGAACCACCATCTGATCCAGCAATTTCACTTCTGCATATCTAGTTTGAAAAACCCGAGAGCAGAGATTGGAAGAAATAATTGTACACCCACATTCACAGCAGCATTATTCAGAGGGAGGCAAGGAGGGAGGCAAGGAGGGAGACGGGCGCGTGCTGACAGCTGAAGGGCTGCCCAAGGCAGTGATTACACAGGGTGGAGAGTGCTTCGGCTTCAAAGGGCAGGAAATCCCGTCACGTGGCACAAGGTGGATAATGAGATGACCACGGCTGTAAAGGACAAATGCTGTGTGAGCCCACTCGATCTTGGAGTAGACACGGTCATGGAAGCGCAAGGTGGAGGGGATTGGTACAGGAGAGGTGTGGGAGGCGTCTCTGTGGGCAGCTTTAAGTTTTCAAGCAGAAGTTCTTGGGATTGGCAGTATAACAATGTGAGTGTACTTAACACTATTAGCTGTACGCTTACCGGGTACAGCAAGGAAAAGGGTACGGGGAGAGGGAAGGAGACAGGCAATAACTTTACGTTCTTAGAATTATAAGAACTATACTGAGTTTCTTAACTAAAAAGCTATAAAGGGCCCGGCGCGGTGGCGCAAGTGGTTAAAGGTCCTCGCCTTGCACCCCCGGGATCCCATATGGGCGCCGGTTCTAATCCCGGCAGCCCCGCTTCCCTTCCAGCTCCCTGCTTGTGGCCTGGGAAAGCAGTCGAGGACGGCCCAAAGCTTTGGGAACCTGCACCCGTGTGGGAGACC